CCCTGTCGCGAGCGATCGTTGACCAATGCCTTCTCATCGCACCAGGTACACGATGAACGCTCTGAAGGACTTTAAAGAACTTCGTGAACATGTATGGCCATCGAGTCGGCGGTCTTCCTGTTCCGCATTTGACGTCCAACGGTGTTCAATCTGTTACAGCTCTGGCCCACCGATTGTCGTCAAAACGCATCACGTGTCCGGCCCATCTGATTTTATTCTGTTTGGCGTATGCTTCAGCATCCCTGATTTTCGATCGTTAACGTAGGGTGGAGCTTCGTGTTCTTTCCCTCACTTGCGCGAGTCGGGACACTCCTAACATCGCTCTCTCAACAGCGCGTTCGATGTTCCGCATGTTACCGCATGTTCGTCCTGCTTCCTCATGGTCCACGTTTCCGAAGCGCACGTCAAAGCAGGCAAAACCGTCGCGTTGATGGGCACGGAGCCGGATGTTCGTGGTCTTCTTCACTACGTCCTCAATTGCCTTGTATGCTCCCCATGCCGCTCGTTTCCTCTTGCTTAGTTCCGGGGCTAGATCGTTCATTATGTTGACTTTCCGACCTAGGTAGACGTAGCTAGAGCATTCGGCGATCGTCATTCCATTCAGCGTGGGAGGAGCATCAGAACCCATCCGTTTCTCATAAACATCGTCTTCGTCAGATTTAGCTGCAGACCGATCTTTCCACACACGTCATCAAGCAGGGCCAGCATTCGTTCCGCTTGCGTGATGTCCGGTGTAACTAGAACTTTGTCATCAGCGAAGCGAAGATGGTGTAGTTGCCGGCCGTCGACTTTCACACCCATGTCATCCCACTCTAGTGTCCGCATGACGTTCTCGAGAGCAGCGCTAAAGAGTTTCGGCGATATCGTATCGCCTTGTCGTACTCCTCTCTTCACGTCAATGGTGATGTCCTTGTAGAAATGGTGTGATCTTCGTTGTGAAGTCGTTGTACAGCTCACACGAATCATCTTGATGTACTGAGTTGGAATACCTTGACTGCTTAAGGCATCGATGACAGCCTCAGTCTCAACCGAATCGTATGCCTTCTTCAAGTCGATGAAGGTGAGACAGAGCGGCATCCTGTACTCTCGCGATACTTCGATGAGCCTTGTTATCGTGTGTATGTGGTCCATAGTGCTAAATCCTTTCCGGAACCCAGCTTGCTCGCATGGTTGTCTTTCGTCTAATTCTCTTCCGATCCTGTTAAGAAGTACCCGTGTGAAGAGTTTGTAGACTGTAGACAATAAGCAGATAGGGCGATAATTTCCGATGTCGCGGGGTCTCCCTTCTTGTACAGCAACACGGTCTTGCTGGTCTTCCATTGACTTGGAATCGTGCCCTCCGTCAGGTACCGCGTGAAGAGCCTTGTCAAAGTCTTGACGAGAATTGGCGAAAGATTCTTCAGATGTTCTGGCTTAATCCTGTCGGGACCGGGTGCTGTACGGTTCTTCATCGGCATGATAGCATGACAAATCTCGGAAAGAACAGACGGTGCGACATTCCTTGAGATGGCATGGTGGAAGATGGACGTGGCTCGCAAAGAGATCCGAGTAAAATTCGTTGATGACTTTCTCCATCGACCTTCGGAAAGATGTCGTGGTTCCATCAGAGCGGCGGGGTGCGGTCATCTTGGTCTTGAAATTGACGGTGCTTCGGCGGGCGTTGCGTATACTTCTTCCGGCCTCCGCGGCGTCAAGCATGACTTGTGCTCTTCTTTCTTTGAGATCTTCTTTTATCGCTTCTCTGCATTTCTTCGCGAGCTCAGACGTAAGCTGGTGATTGCCTAGCGCTCGTGCTCGTCCACGTATTAGCTCTAGAGTCTCCGTTGACAGGCGCTTCCTGGTACTTCTTGAGCTCTCAGCTTCCTTAGCACAATTGTGAAGGTGCTGGATAAATCTTTCATATTCCTCGTCGATGTTGTCAATCACGGTATCTCGCCAAAAGCTGGATATGGAGGAAAAAGGTCCCAGTTGATGTTAGTCGTGGGACCATGTTTCCTGAACTTAATGGCTCTTTCTCCATTCCGTGAGAAGTAGAACTTGGCAAGAAGGAGACGATGGTCCGATCCCGTGTAGAACTTCGGAACAACAGCGACGTCGGTCAGGCAATACCTTCTATTAACGATGATGTGATCAATCTCATTATGGTACTCTCCACCAGGCGATTCCCAGGTTCAGCGTCGGGAAGGGGGCTTTTGAAACTGCGAGTTTCCATGGATGGTCCTCGTCGTCATGATGAACTCGGACAGTCTCTCCCATTGTTCGTTCCACTGCAGTCCATGGGTCCCGATGTGAATTTCTGCAGGGACCTTCTTGCTCCGATCTTTGCGTTGAAGTCACCGACGATGGCCTTGTAGAAGGTGTGATCTTCTCTGTAGAACTTCTCCAAGTCCATGTAAAAGACCTCGACTTCATCTTCGTCGTAGCTTGATGTTGGGGCGTACGCTATGAAGACCGTCAAGGCTGGGATTGATCGACATCGTGATATTCGTAAACGTCCGATCCGGGTTGTGAGTTGTTCGAATGAATCGATGCTCACGGCCAAACAAGGACAAGGACTCCTACACCGCCACTCCCTTGCTGTCGCATGTTCCTAAGAACAGTTCTTCTCCATTATCAAACGTTGCTTCAGCGGGTGGTGTCTCCTTGTCTCGGTCAGTCCGATGACGTCGTATTTGATCTTCTTTGCTTGCATCAAGAGGTCTTCAATGGATGCGTCCGATGCGAGCGTCCATGCGTTGTAAGTACAGATCGTCATCATTGTCCATCTCGTTTTCGGCAGCCTAGATTGCCCTTCAAACCTTGTCTCCACCGGCGCTGCCTTACCAGTGGCTCTTCCAAGATTAAGGGAGCTTTCCATTATATCACTGTGTTTAATGATTGATTACTCGCAGGAGCAGCTTGTTGGGCTCAAATCTCCCGCGAGGGACGGTGTTAAAGGCTTATTTGTAAAAGGCGACTCCGAGCCCGCCTTTCCCACACCTACCTGGAAAATAGGTATGCAAGCTTTTAATGGAGACAGAGAGTCCGTCCCCCGGCCGCTTGCTCATTAGAGCAGGCTCGGGGTCGCTTTTGATCGGCGATTAGCCCCTTATCCGCCACCTGGGGACGCCCCACGTAGCCTCGCGACTAACCGGCTGGAATTCCTCTGAGAGGGAGATCCGTGGAGAGGTGTCATCGATGGTTTAATTACTCAAGTTTGAGGTACTTTCTCTTGGCGGAAAATACCTGAGGGCTGTGCGCTCGACAAAGGACCGCGCGGCCCTCAATAATTCTGCATATTCTAGAGGAAAATCCGCGAGAATGCGACCAATGCGCCGCAACTATTCGATGGTTCTCCAAGCGTTTGTCTGAAAATTAATCAACATCCTTCCAAATTTCTGGGCCGCAAGAAATCAGCGAACTATTCCGGTGCCCGCTTGCTCAAAATTCGCATGGCCGCCTACCTCGGCGATTATTTGAGTACGTGGCAGCTGCACATCTTAACAGAGACCACTGCTTCTCTACATCAGAATTACAATGGATAGGCGGCCACAGATATTGGGACGTATCAAATGGTGGAGATTGAAGACCAACAGCAGGCAAAGTAGGCACTACTAATAGCTCTCCTAAGCCTGCAAGAGAACCCAGAGCGATCCTGGGCAAGCTTGAAAGATGGGGTTACTAAGTGGCACTTATAATTTGGGAAGTGCAAAGTCGGGAAAAAGAAGTATTGACGTCAGACATACCAAGCCTAATAGGCTGCTAAAGCTTCTATAATGAAGGTAAAACATGTTTACACGAAAGAGCTCTACGAGCAACTAGAGTCTTGCGCGGGGCAACGTGAGATATACCGGATAGCGAAAAGAAGAGCGTAATCCACAAAAGATATGGAACACTTCCGACCGACCCGGCTGACGAGCTACACTTCAAAAACCGGGAAAATGATCGAAACCGTTTTCGAGATATCTTCAAGTTGTCACCGAATCAGTGCGGATTCGTGGAAGGAGTGGGTGTACTCAGACAGTCGATCGGACCCCTCCGGCGCAGAAATGGCAGGACCACGGGGTTTCCCCAGCGGGGGGTCTGCCACTCGTGCGCCGGAGCCGCCCGATTTTGTGCGCCGGAGCCCCCCGATTTTCTGCGCCGGAGCCCCCCGATTTTGTGCGCCGGACCCCTCCGATTTTCTGCTCCGCAAGCCTGCCGCGGCATACTGTAATTAGCCCTAATTAAGCTCCAAACCCCATTTTTGTCTCTAAACCCCACCCAAATTAGCCGAATACGGCCCTCCCCCGGGTAGGACTTCAGCGCGACCCTCAACCCCGTTCTTTACCCCCTCCCTCTCACCCCTAGCGTTTGTGGATAGAAGATAGAAGAAAGAATGAAGAGACAAGACATTTATTTTAAATTAACTGCAAACAATCTCCTGCAAATTGCAAAACAAAACTTAGCAGCTTCAAAACGGACAACAAAGACAACAGTTGCCGGCAACCTTGGCCGTACCCTAAGCGAAAACATAAGCGAAGTAAGTGTAGTGAGCTAGATTGCTTGGAAAAACACAGCGCAAAACCTTTTGTCACAAAACCTTTGAGTGCTGATATCTGCATTGCAGCGAAAAACAATGAGGAAACTCGCACAGAATAGGTCTCGGTTGAGAAATAAGGTACACGATGTAATATGAGAGAGACACCACAACGGTGAAGAAAAGCAATGATGATGCTACTGAAAGCCACCCCGCTCGCCCTGATTGTACTGCTAGAGAAAACAGCGAAAGCAAACGTCTACCGTTTAGGAAATGAGATACTGACTAATCATCGTGTGATCTTCAGCTTATTGCTAGCAAGGAAGAAAATGCAGTAACGTGACACACTCAAACTAATTCTATTCACAAGTTATCAAGGATTTCTAGACCTGTCCTATACGGCAAACGCAAAGGTATTTAATATAAAATGTATAGATTGGATTTGAGTTTTCTTTTAAATGTGAATATCAAAATCAACGGACCTATGATGATGAGAACGAAACTATAGTTGGCTGGAGCACTCAAGTTCGTATAATTGCATTCTACCGCTGCGCACCGACCACAGAAACAACATTCCTTCTAGTGATAGCTGTAAACCATCTTGACGCGATTATCATGAACATAGTACAGATACTTACGACACTGAATAGAAATGGCAGACGAAACAGTGCAGGATTAACGCAGAAGAGTGGCGAAACACCATCACGTTGCCAGACACCATCAATAGCTCGCATGACCGCTAAACCCATCAGAGTGCTGCAACATTCGATCAGATTACAGTTTAGAATAAGCTTGGGTCATAGGATACTAAATTTTGTGGGAGAAGTAGGAGCCAATGACAAAAGACTTATATTCAGATCGGAATTGGCTTGCGTGTCTGTTACGTTCAAGGTAAAGTTACGCGTTTCCTGCAAGATCGTACTCTCAGCGCACATTCCGCGATCAGGAGAAGAATTCGTACAATTAGTAGTAAAAAGAAGTTTCAAGGCAGCCCGAAAAGCTGCTAACAAGAAAACGCCTATTTGCAAAGTTGATCAGAGAGTTAAATTTCCCAATTTTTTTTGTAGTAAATGATCTGACATGAGAAGTCAAAGACAATTGAGAATTTTTTCTGACAGAGAGTACGAAAAAGAAATGAGCTTGCAACAGCTGGGTAATAGCGCGAATAGGAAGACTGAGCTAGTATCAGAATCGGTCATGCGGACGATTTTGAGAAAATGAATAGAAGAAAATAAAGTTTGACGCACCTGAAAAAGTACATGTAGCCGAGAAGAGATGCAATGGTTCGAGAGGTGTCTAGATATGGCTTCACATCCGCATGTGGCAGAAATCTGAAATTGTAAGTGGTTGCCGGCAGTTATACACATAATAAGACCATTTGAGAAGTTCTTTTAATGGCTAGAGCCTTACAACCGGCTGTATTTGCGTGCCATCTTTGCTGACACCCATCTACAGTCGAGTGGATTTTCCGCTTAATATAGTGTGCTTGCACAGAAGGTGAAATGCGGTAAAATTTGCGCGTAAACAGATAGTTTCGACTGAGACGCCGGCCAATTGCGGGCGCAAAATGCCGGTAGTACTGGCATGGCTAGTTCTTCACGCGAAAGTTTTACCGCATTTCACCTTCTGTGCAAGCACACTATATTAAGCTGGAAATCTACTCGACTGTATATAACTAAAGTGTGATGAGTTGCGTGAAGTCTATGCAGATGAGATTTACTTGCAATCTTCTGCATGAAGATGCGTCGCTTTGAGAATTGCAAGAAAATTCTTGAAACTTCTAATTCTTGAAATTTTGAAACTTCGTCATTGCGGTCGAGCAGAACGACATTACGACACCAGTGCCTCTAATTAAGGCAATCAGTGAAGCCGCACCTGTTCGGAAATTCATGTAGCTAGTCTTACCTACGACCCACCCCTCCCCACTGCAGACCTATCTGAAATACTCTTTCATTCTCATTTCCAAAATCTCACAGCGTGGCACTGCAGGAGAAAAGTCTGTAATAGAAGATTTTGACTCGAAGTGTACGTCTAACTTTCTAACTTTTGCACATCCCCAGGGTGACTGACTTATACTGTAATCCTCTGAAGTTAGATCGTAATCGAACTGCACCCCTATTTCCGCGAAAAAAACGAATAACTTTGAAGAACTCTGAAGGAGTAAATTCTGACAAAGCATCAACTTGATTGACGTCGAAACGATCTAAATAGTAATCTAAGAGGGATATAAGACATTAAACATGAGTAGACATTAAAAAGGTATACTCACAGAAAATCGTTGTCTCCTTCTCGCAAAGCTTCGCGAGCAGGCACATCAAAAGGTAGAAGTTCATCAAGGCCTGGCACAGGTAGGCCTGCAAACTCGACTGCACCAACATTCCACATCAGCCATATGGATAATGCCAGAAACAAGAGATGAGCGAGAACAAGAAATCGCTGAAAATACACCTCTATAAGTGGCTCATAAGACTTTGATTCAGATGTTATGTCCGGTAGATATCAGATATAAAGTTGCCTAGAAACCCTAAAGCTTACCTTAGAATGCATCTGCCCGAAAAGCGACAGATAATGTTCGGAACGAGCTCAAATTAATCACAAAACCCACCCCATCAAAAGTCAACGATGTCTCAGCAAGTCGAAAAGAGCCAAACACTGAAAGTGATTGAGTGCATCAGCAGAAAAATTTGAAACATAAACCTGAAAACGAGGAACTTATAACAACATAAACGCCAACGCGACGAAGAGCAACGCGGAAAAAAACGGTAAAGAAACGCGGAAAAACAACAAAATCAAAGAAACAACGACTAAAATATGAAGAAAGAGCGTAAACAGAGGACTCATCACCGTGGAGTTAGACGTTTGCTTGGCTACGCGCCAAATCGATACGCAGCCTGCTCCGGAGCCCTCCCATTTGTGCTCCGGGGCCCTCCCATTTGAGCACCGGAGCCCTGCCATTTTCTGCTCCGGAAGTGTCCCATTTTCTGCTCCGGGGCCCTCCCATTTCTGCTCCAGAGACCTCCCATTTTCTGTCCCGGACCCCTCCGATTTTCTGCTCCGCGGCTTGTCCAAATCTGGCGTACCTCCGGAGCAGAAATGGCGTACCTTTGGAGCAGATCCGGAGAAGGGTCCCACTCGCCTGCCGGTGACGTCACTGTGACCTACAAAAAGGGACCGCCCCCTCGCCCCGCTCTCATTGGTCAATTGGGTCCGCCGCGGCTCTGCCAGATTTCGACTGTCCGGGGCGACTACGGCACCGACTGTCTGAGTAGGTGACGCCATCCACTCCGCTAGGCTAATGATAGAGAATTATAGAGAAAAGCAGAAAGAACTGCAAGCCTTCCTGGACAGGAGACATCTTTCCAATAAGATGCCCCATAAAGTCATACGGTTTTCGCGAAAACACATGGTGTCGGAGGAATACGTTCGGATAAAGTTGATCTACCATATCGCTTCAGATCACGTGTAAACAGCTGCAGGGCAATCAAATGAGTTCCAGATCGAGGTCGGAGTACACTAAGGATCGGTCCTCTCTCTCCTGCTCTTCATCACTGCGATGAACGTCGTTGAAAAACCACTTAAACGTAAACCTCCTTAAACACTTCTCTACGCAGACAGACGATGCGGTCTTGATAGCATAACCAGAAAGGAGGTGCAAGACGAGGTCCAAATCTGGAAGAACAGTCTAGAGTTGTATGGCTTGAAGCTTAGTACCAAGAACACAGAATACGTAGAAGTGGGGAAACAAACCCCAACTACCGTGAGCATCGATGGTGAAGAGCTAATGAAGACAACCTCATACAAGTATAGCGCATTCGAAAAATCGTGACGATGGCGCGACTGCGCGCGACACGCCCGCACTTCCATTTCTTGGTTTCTTTCTCCAATAGAATGGTTTTCTGCTTACATGTGATATACTTAGACACTGGAAGTGACTGAGCTAGACGTTGAGGTGATGCCTTTTTGTATGGGAGTTTTATGCTCTTGTCTGCGTAAAGAGCAGTCAACTCGTCGTCACGATTTTAAGAATGAACCATATCTAGGGAGCCACATCTCAGTGGAGGGATGCCTTACAAGAGAAGTCGCAGGCAGTATGAGCATAGCATAGATAAAACTAGCTGGCTTACCCGGCTCCGCTAGGCCCCGTCAGAACACTACGATAACCCAGCTTTATTTATTTACAACCTTTCTCTGTGTCTACTTCTACATGCCAAGCCTGTATTAGTAATCAGCATGCTCACTTACCCCCTGTGCCGATTCCCAGCTTTGTAGCTAGATCTTTGCAAATAATTGATAAAATCGATAAATAGCGAATAATTCTGAAAACTAATATTGTAATCGTAAACAGCGTGCTCGTCCCCCCCCCTGTGCCAACTCGGGAAACGGTCAAGAGGCGCGAATCCAGAGGTCACCAATTTAAACAGCATAATTTCGAGCTTGGTGAGTCTTTTGATAACACCAGGGAAAGTGCTATAGCTTACTAACTATCTGTAGCTATCACTTGCAAAGTTTGACGGCATTTGGTGAAAGATTAAAATATCCACGAAGACGCCATTAATAACATTTTCAAAGGTTTTTAACCTCCAACCTCCAAACCTGATTTTCTAATTTATTTCAAAACGGCGACATCGAGCATCCATGGAACGATCATACATATTTTGTTAAAAAGAATTTCTTCTAGAACATAATAAAATACTAAAAATGCGTTAATTAGTGTCCATCTGACAATAAAAATCGCGCCTCTCGACATACACCCTGCCAACTCCCAGCCCCGTAGTTCAAACTTTGCAAAAATCGATCGATCGATGACGAAAAGCAGCTTATGGCACCCGCCCTGCCCCAGAGTGTTCTGTCTGCCAAGTTTGGTCCGGATCGGTTGAGAAATAAAATTTTCTGTTCGGAACATACATACAGACAGACATTCAGCTTTATATATTAGGTTGTAAAGAAAGTTCCCGGGCACTTGCGAAAATTTTTTTCAAATCGCTGTAGCTTCAAGCAGATTGATTATTTTTTGAAGCTACAAATTTCATTGCAAAGACATTTTTGTCCATAACATATATTTGTCTTGCTTCTCAGCACCTCACTGCGGTCCACCAGCATGCGCAGAAGGGAAAAAGGTCGTCGCGAAAAGGGGCCTATTTGTGCAGGATTATCTCAGTCACTATAAAAGCTGGAGAGCTCAAATGCTGTAGTTATATAGAGTTCCGCTGGGGCTGTTATGGGGACCATTCATGTTTTTGCAGGACCACCTGCAAAAAATATTCCCCAGAAGTTTGAAAAATCGACCATTTTTTGCCCCTAAAAATGCACCATTTTTTGAGTAAGTGACTTTGAAGTCTTCTAGTTCTGCACAGAAAGGACCAAATCTGTGATTGCTGGGAACATTGTTATGGCAATGCTTTACAAATCTTTTAAAACCCATCATCCAAGCGTGGCGATCCCTGCAGCAGCGACGCCAGCTGCGAAGAGAGTTGCAACCAAAGGCAAGTTCGACAGCTTACAGTTTCTGAGCGCAAATCGCAAAACTTGAGTGCAGCTGCGGATCAGAAGTTAACAGGCTTCTCAATCAAATCACTCATGATTCGGACGAAATTCCTTGAACTGCACAAAAAAATGGCCGTGGGAAGAAAAACTGTGAAATTTTTGTGGTTGAAAAGATTCCTCTTGACGTGCATATCAAACACGTCTTGGCATCGATGAAAGTCAGAAGGCTTGTTGAAAACTTTAGGCTTCCCTCTGCTGAACAGTATAAATAACTTGGTGTCAAAGTCCGACCGAGCGCCGAAAAAATGCGTTTAAAAATGAAATTTCCAAAAGTGCCCGGGAACTTTCTTTACAACTTAATATAATAAGATGGAGAGCCTTTACAGGCTGTGCGGCAAAAGAATGCCAGTGCAGCTTAACTCCCAACTGTACCCTACTGTTATCAGTCCAATCTGCTAAGGTTACAGCAGCACTATACTGCAGTGAGTGCTGGCCATGTATGCGGAATGAGGAGCGCAAGCTTAGTGTCATTGAAACAGGATGCTCCGATGAACCTTAGAGTCACAGTGATCTGCAATGACACTTTACGAGCGCAAGATAGTAGCTAGCTTTAAATGCCTAGAAGATGCAAAAACGAAGGCTACTATGGTATGAGCATGTGCGCAGATGAGAGGAAAATCACATCGCAAGGTTAGTTCTGGCGTGGAGGCAACAGGCAAAAGACCCAGAGGCTTGTCCGAGATGAGGTGGAAGGACAAAATCAAGGCCGATCTGCGAGAACTGGGGAATGGACGAAGACCTTGCCTAAGATAGGAAAACATGGAGACATTAGATAAGAAAAGCAGACCCTGCATAGGCGGGACACATTTTCTTTCATCTTTACGCACAAAACGTGCGCGGTTACCAGAAACAGAATCAGTGGCCGTATTCATCAACGAAACCCGTGGGTTCCGGAACCCACTGAGTTAGTGCTTTTGACGAATATCGATTCTACTCCAGGGAAGAATCGATATTTATCAAAAGCACTAACCCAGTGGGTTCCGGAACCCACGGGTTTCGTTGATGAATACGGCCACAGTACTCCACAAACTCTCCAAACCCACGTTAGTAACATAGAACAGCGAAGATACGAGGTCCATTTGATACCTCTATACAATAAATATATAACGTCTAGATGGCTTCCATAAGCAGCAAGCTTGTGACTAGTAGTACTAAGCATTAACGATGGTATTAAGTCTCTCATACAATACCGCTCACATTTTTTGAAAAAAAGACGCGAATGTATGGACATGTATGGACATGTACGGACATGTCCATACATGTATGGACATGTACGGACATGTACGGACATGTCCATACATGTACGGACATGTCCAAACATGTATGGACATGTCCGTACATGTCCATACATGTCCATACATTCGCGTCTTTTTTTCAAAAAATGTGAGCGGTATTGTAAGTTTTTTCAATTTTGATTTTAACCGCAATATGTCACACATATCTCAATTTTGATTGAGGTGCAGGGTATCGTTCGATAGAGTAAAGCAAGCTCTATAAGATGGCTTGTAAGTTTCTCACCGGATCAGCACATCACGAGTTAGAAGCCGAAATTTGAGAACTTTTAAATGCAAAAAATGAAAATTCTTTATAACTTTGTCCAATGAAAGCGTACCAGATCCAAAACTTGTTCACACATTTACACTCCACACAGCACATTCAGACGTGCCGTTCCAATGTTTGTCTGGGCTAGCAACCGAAAAAGCTAAAATTTTCAAGCTTCCAAAAAGCGATGCTGCGCTGTTTTCATACAGGGAAATGTATACTACTGGCCTTCAGTGATACATTGATAGATGTTCAGCTTTCTGGAAACGCTAGTTCTTGAGAAATATCGAATTTAGCTT